AACAATCTGACATTTCCAGAGAAAATATCTCTTCTGAGATAGATCCCTTTTTGTGTCATGTTATTGTTGTCCCTGAAAATTTTATGCCTAGCTACAACTTGCTATTCACATAGCATTGGGAAAAGTAGTTTTTCATTAATGTATCTTGTATGGGTAGCAGTGATAATCTCCATGATACTCAGTCTGTTGCTTTTTGAAGCAATTCAGTCATTCTGCCAGTATTTACTTATCACCCACTGTATGCCAGAAACTATTCTAGCATTGGAGGTAAAGGGGCAAACAAAACCAAAGGTTGGCATTCCTGAAGCATATTTTCTATTTAGGAAGATAAACAACAAACAAAGATAAAATTTAATGACAAATAGTGATAAATGCTGAAAAATGAAAGGATGGCGTGAGGATTGTTCTTTATGGTGATGGAACAGATCTCTGAAGAATTGATTTAAGCAGAGACCTCAGTGATACCAAGTGTGTGGATACCTGGGGAAAGAAATTGCCAAGCAGATGCAGAAATAACAGTAAGAGAGTTCTAGTTGTTGCTGATGTCCTCGAAACCTCTTGTGTTGTCAGTCTTTTTAAATTTCGGCTTTCTGGTGGATGTGTAATGGTATGCCATTGTGGTTTTAATTTGCATTTCTCTGATGACTAATGATGTTGACCACTTTTTCGTAAACATTTTGACCATTTGTGTATTTTTCTTCATGAAGTTGTCTTTTCGAATCTTCTGCTCATTTTTAATTGGATTGTCTTAGTGAGTCATAGGATATTTTATATACATTCTGGGTAGAAGTTCTTTCTCATATGTATGTATTGTAAATATTTTCTCTCAGTCTGTGGTTTGCCTATTCATTTTTCTAATGGTGTCAGTTGATAATCACAAATTTTATAACTTCCCTATAGGTTAAGTATGTTGCTATTTTTGGGAATCAGGTAAGAGCAAATCTCTAGTTTTTGCCAGCTAATGTCATTATTTTAGTAGAAATTTTAATCGGTATTGTGTATATTCCAAATCTTGGTTTCTGTTCAAACTTACAAACTAGCTTATGGTGGTAGAAAGAATATTGTACATAGGAGTTAGAAGGGAGCTAAGTTCTAGTCCAACTTTGTGACCTTAGGCAGCTGATAAACTATCTAATTTTCTTCATCTGTAAAATAGGGAAGGTTGGTTTAGAGAATTATTAACATTCCTTTGGAGTCTACAATTATGTATTTTTTATTTGATACAGTAAAGATTTTGGCTTAACAAAGTCATGTTAGAACCATAGTAGCATTAGAAATGTTTGAAATGCTTATCTTGGGTGATTCGTGAAAAAAAGAATTGTGAACATCTTGAGTCAATGTTACCCATATCAGATTTAAACATATGGCCACCTCTCTCTCTTAATTACAGCTTTATTGAAATATAGTTCACATCCGGTTTATCCTTTTAAGGACTACACTTCAGAGATTTTTAGAATATTCATAGTTGTACATGTATCACCAGAATCAGTTTTAGAACTTTTTTTTTTTAATAATTAAAAAAAAAAAATCTTTACAGTGTTCTCTCTCCTCCCCTCCCACCCTTGGTAACCAACAAAGAAATTTCCTTCCATATAAAAACTTTTCTTTGACTTTTTATAATAATGAACTAATACAATATTTGTCCTTCTGTGATTGACTTATTTCACTCAGTCTAATGTCCTCCAAGTTCATCCACAAGTTTTAGAATATTTATTACTCTAAAATACTCATTAGCAGTCATTCTCCATTTCCCTCTAGTTCCCCCATTCTCAGCTATAGGCAACCACTGTTGTGTGTCATCAAGTTGATTCTGGCTCATTGCAACCTATAGGACAGAGTAGATGGCTTCTCATAGTATTTCCTAGATTTGTAATCTTTATGGGAGCAAATCACCAGGTCTAGTCTCTCTCAAGGAGCTCTGGTAGCATAGTGCCTAAGGCACTTGACTGCTAACCAGAAGGCTGGCGGTTCAAACCCACCAGCCACTCCTCGGAAGGAAGGTTGGGCAATCCTACTTCCGTAGTGATACTGCCTCGGAAACCCAAGGAGGGGTCGCTATGAGTCGGGGCTGACTCAACGGCATATAACAACAACAACAACGGTCTTTCACAGAGTTGCTAGTTGGTTCCAACCTCTGACCTTTTAGTTAGCAGCCGAGTACTTAACCATTGCACCACCATAGCTCTTTAGGCAACCACTAAAAAACCCCAAATCCACTGCCATCTAGTCAATTCTGACTTACAGTGATCCTATAGGACAGAGTAGAACTACCCCATAGGGTTTCCAAGACTATAGTCTATACAGAAGCAGATATGCATATATTCCTTCTGTGATGTGGCTGGTGAGTTCAGACCATGAGTCTCTCAGCAGCCAAGTGCTTTAACCACTGCACCACTGAGCTCCTTAGGTAACTACTAGTTTCAATAAATGTGCCTATTTTGGACCATTTCCCTCCTACTCTCAGCTGTTGGTAACCACTGGTGTGTATCATCAAGTTGATTCTGGCTCTTAGCAGTCTGTAGGACAGAGTAGGTTGCCCCAAAGGATTTCCTAGGGTTGTAATCTTTATAGAAGCAGAAATGGAATCATACAATATGTGATCTTTTATGTCTGGCTTCTTTCACTCAGTACAGTGTTTTCAAGGTTCATCTGTGTTGTAGCGTATGTCAGCACTTTATTACTTTTTATGCTGAATGATACTCCATTGTGTGGAATACCACATTTTACTTAACCCTTCATTCATCACTTGATAGACATTTGGGTTGTTTCCCCTTTTTTGGCTACTATGAATAATGTTGCTTTGAACATTTGTAGATGTGTTTTCATTTCATACACACACACATGCACACACAGCTAAGAATGGAATTCCTGGGGTCCTATAGTAACTCTCTGTTTAACTTATTGAGTAACTGTCAGAGTATTTTCCAGAGCTGCTGCACCATATTACATTTCCACCAGAAACACATGAGAGTTCCAGTTTTTCTATGTACTTGCTGATCCTTGTTACTTACCAGTCTTTTTGATTATAGCCATCCTAGTGGGTGTGAGGGAGCTCTGGTAGCGTAGTGCCTAAGGCACTTGACTGCTAACCAGAAGACTGGCGGTTCAAACCCACCAGTTACTCCTTGGAAGGAAGGTTGAGCAATCTACTTCTGTAGTGATACTGCATCGGCAACCCGAGGAAGGGTCGCTATGGGTCGGGTCAGACTCCATGACACATAACAACAACAACAGTGGGTGTGAAATATATCTCATTATGGTTTTGATTTGCATTTTCCTGGTGGCTAACGATGTTGAGTGTCTTTCCTTGTGTTTATTAAGGCCACTTCTCTCTGGCAAGCTTTCATTTGGGATAGGGATAGGATGTGGTTGGAAATTGATCTACTTGGTTCTTTCCCTAAAGTGTCAAGTAAGCATTCTAAAGTATCAGTCAAGTAAGTCTCTTCTCACTGCTGGTGGAAAGTAAATATGAAGAATGTGGCATCAGGATTGGAGAAAAACTGATTAACAACTTGCAGTACGCAGATGATAGAACTTTGCTTGCTGAAAGTGAGGATGACTCGAAGCACTTGCTGATGAAAATTGATTGAAGACTACAGTCTGCAGTATGGATTATACCTCAATATAAAGAAAACAGAAATCCTCACAACTGGACCCATAAGCAGCATCACAATAAATGGAGGAAAGGTTGAAGTTGTGAAAGACTTCATACTACTTGGTTTTACAATCAACACCAATGGAAGCATTAGTCAGTGTATTGCATTGGGCATATCTGCTGCAAAAGACTTCTTTCAAGTGCTGAAGAGCAAAGATGTCTTCTTGAGGACTAAGGTGCACCTTACACAAGCCATGGTATTTTCAGTCTCCTCATATGCATGTGAAAGCTGGACAGTGAATAAGAAAGACCAAAGAAGAGTTAATGCTTTTGAGTTGTGGTATTGGCAAAGAATACTGAAAGTACCATGGACTGGTAAAAGAGCCAACAAATCTGTCCTGGAAGAAGTGCAGCCGGAATGGTCCTTGGAGACGAGAATGGCCAGACTTTGACCTGCTTTGATCATGTTGTCAGAAGGGACCATTCCCTGGAGAAGGATACCATGCTTGGTAAAGTGGAGGATCAATGAAGAAGGGGAAGGCCCTCAACACGATGGGTTGACATAGTGGCTGGAACGATGGGCTCAGGCATAGCAAGGACCGTGGGGCTGCCACAGGACCAGGCAGTGTTTCCTTCTGTTGTGCATAGAGTCACTGAGTTGGAGATGACTTGATGGCACCTAACCACAAGTATGATTTATATTCTTAGTTAAAATTGTAGTATATCTTTGGGGGAAAAGAACATTCATTGATAAATCCTTTTTTTAAAAAAAAATTAATTGTGATTTGGGTGAAAGTTTACAGAGCAAATTGACTGTCCAAACAGCAGCTCACATACATTTTGTCTCATGACATTGATTGTAATTTCCCACAATGCAACAGCTCCCTCCTACTTCCTCCCCATAGTTACCTCTTCCCTGTATCCTTCCCTCCTGTGCGCTGCTGCCCCCTGAGTTGTCTCCTTCTGTGTACACAGCCCTTCTTCTATTCTCCCATGATTGATCTCATTGATAAATCTTGCCAGTTTGTTTAGTCTCTCAAATGTTTATGAAAAAGACTTCAACATAGAAAGGAATAGCATAGTCACACAAGGATGAAAATGAAACATGTCTGATTATCTAGAAGAAAACCTTAATACATTTATAGTAAGTCTATTTCCCTTATGTCACCATAGTTTTGTGAATTGATACAGAATGTGTAAGTATTTTTAAGGTGAGCTTAGGTTATATATCCTAAAATGGGTTAATTTGAAATGATACTCTTGTTAGTAGAAATGTAATTTATTAATTTGAGAATATTTAGTTTAGTACAGATTTTGCTGTCAAAATGTTAATTGTTGTGATGAGGATTGGTTTAGTTAGTCCAGTCAGATGTGTGAACTAATGTTTTTTTTTCCCCCCCCCCAGAAATACATGCTACAGGTTTTAACTATCAGAATGAAGATGAAAAAGTCACCTTGTCTTTTCCTAGTACTCTCCAAACAGGTAAGAGATAATGGCTTTTACATGATCTCATGATGAAGAGTGACATGTTACTTCTTCCAAAGAAATTTATTGAGCACCATTTTTTTCCCTCCTTGTTTTTCAGCAGATTATGATAAAAATTTTATACATATAGGAGGTCTGGTGGTGTTAAAGTATTCGGCTGCTAACCAGAAGGTTGGCAGTTTGAACTCACCAGCTACTCCATGGGAAAATGATATGGCAGGCTGCTACCATAAAGATTTACAGCCTTGATAACCTTATGAGGCAGTTCTACTCTGTCCTAAAGGTCGCTATGAGTTGGAATTGACTCAGTGACAGTGGGTTTGGTTTTTGGTTTATATATATGATTTTATTTTGTTGTTATTGAGAATATACACAGCAAACATAAACCAATTCAACATTTTCTACATGTATCATTTAGTGACATTGATTACATTCTTCAAGTTGTGCAGCCATTCTCATTCTCATTTTTGTAATTGTTCCTCCCCTGTTAACATTAATTCACTGCCCCCTAAAGTTAATGTCTAATCTTTTGAGTTGCTGTTGTCAATTTGATCCCACATAGATAGTTCTTAAAAGAACATAATGCTCAAGGCAGACCTTTTTACTAGTTAGCTTAAACTATTGTTTGGTTTTAAGAAGACTTTGGGATATCTTTGGTTTATGATTTAAAGATTATCTCAGAGCCTTAGTTTCAGGGGTTCATCCAACCTTTATGGCTCCAGGAATTCTGGAGTCTGTGAGAATTTGAAAATCTTTCTTGATTCCCTCCTTACCCCCTGGATTCATTTCTAGAATCTTTGATCAAAATGTTGAATAATGATAATCAAGCACTATCCAGTTCTTCTGGTCTTATGGTAAAGAAGGCAGTTTTTCACAGAGGCAATTAGCCACACATTCCATGTCCTCTTCCTATTCTTGACTCTCTTTCTTCCTCTGTTGTTCCAGGCAAATAGAGACCAGTGTTGTTCCTTGGATGGCTGCTTGCAAGCTTTTAAGACCTCAGGCACTATGCATCAAACTAGGAGGTAGAACAAAGGCACTAAGCATATTATTAGGCTAGTTAACTGGAATGTCCCATGAAACTGTGACCCTAAACCTCCAAACCAAGAAACCAAACCCCATGAGGTTTTTGGTTGTAATTAAACAGCCTCAGCAGCTACTCTTTTTTTTTTTTTGCATTATAAATATATCTGTCACACAGGTTTTGCCAATTCAGCTTTCTTTAGGTATACATATTATTGACATCAATTAAAATACTTGCTGTGCAACCCTACCCTAATCCATGCACTGTACCCATCACTGTTAGCCTACCTTTTCCCACTCCTTCCCTCCTTCCCCTTCCCTTTTAACCACTAATAAACTTTGTTCTCTATACATTTACCTTTTCTTGTCTTTTTATATAAGTGACTAAAAAAAATACAAAAAAAACTTCACTGCTGTCAACTTGATTCCAACTCACAGTGACCCGTCCTTGGGTTTCCGTGGTGGTATCTCTATGGAAGTAGATTGCCTGGTCTTCCTTCTGAGGAGTGGGTGGTGGGTTTGAACCACCAGCCTTCTGGTTAGCAGTGAAATCCCTCATGCACTACACCACCAGAGCTCCTTATATAAGTGAAGCCATACAATATTTGTCCTTTTTGTGATTGGTTTATTTCACTCGGCATAATGTCTTCAGGCTCCAACCACACTGTAGCATATATCAAGATTTCATTTCTTCTGCAGGCTAAGTAGTAGTCCATTGTATGTATGTATCACATTTTGTTTATTTATTCATTTACTAATGGCCATTTAGGTTGTTTCCACCATTTGGCTTTTGTAAATAGTGCTGCATTGTGCATCAGTGTACAAATTTCCTGTTTAAATCTGTGCTTTCAAATTTTTAGGATATATACCTAGAAATTGACTTGCTGACTCATAAGGTAGTTCTGTTTTAGTTTTTTGAGGAACATGCCAAACTGTTTCCAATACTGGCTGTACCATTTTGCATTCCCACCAGCAATGGATGAAACATAACGTGAAATGCAACCACTGCTGTGGAGTTGGATCCAACTCATAGAGACCCCTCGTTGGGTTTCAGAGGCGGTCTCACTACAGAAGTAGATTCCCCAACCTTCCTTCCGGGGAGTGGCTGGTGGGTTTGAACTGCCAGCCTTCTGGTTAGCAGTCAAATGCCTTAGGCACTATGCCATCAGCGCTCCCAGCAATGGATAAGTGTTCCAATTTTCCCACATTCTCACCAACATATTTTCTGTTTTATTTTAGCCATTTTAGTGGGAATGAAATGATATAAAAGGGGAAAAAAAGACCAAACTCACTGCTATCAAGTAGATTCCGACTCTTAGTGACCTGACCCCCTTTGGGTTTCTGAGGCAGTAAATCTGTATGGAAGTAGATGGCCTTATCTTCCATCTGCAGAGCAGCTGGTGGGTTTCAGCTGCCAACTTTTTGGTTAGCAATCTGTTGCCTTAGGCACATGCCACCAGAGCTTCTTAAAATGATATAAGATAGAGCTTTAGAAAGAGTCAGGTTTAGTATAACTTTTGGGCCACCAGAGTTTTTCCTAAGGAAGTTAGTTGGGCTATGGAGAGAAAAATTTCCATCCCCTGTCTTTCTATATTTTTTTATGCAAACAAACAAACAACAATAAAAATAAGCAAAATTTAATGGTCATTCTAACCTCGAACATAATATGTTGTATTTCAGCTTTTTAAAGTACATTTGTCTAGCTGTAGTGCAGTGAATTACTTAGTTTGGCCCTTCTAGTCATGCATAGTCTTGTGACTCCCACAAAATTATTGGGTAGGACTGTGGAAATAAGGTACTTGTGACCCTCCAAGGGGATTGGACAGTTTGCTAGAAATGCAAATAAGGTGCTTGGAACTGTCGCAGGAGTGGGACCAGGCAAATAAGGTATATGGGACCCTAGTGAGGGGATTGATCAGTGTTGCCATCCCACTAGGCTTAAAAAGTGAGTGGTCCCAGAGCAAGGAGGGGACCTCACTGCCATCAAGAAAGAAGAGCCAGAAGTAGATAACATCATTTGGACCCAGGGTCCCTGCAGTGAGAACTTCCTAGACCCAGGAGATAGAACTTTTAACACTGAAGATGGTGAGAAATAGTAGCAGAAAAATGGCAGCAGCAGAACCAGGAGACCTGCATGAGATGGAGCTATGCAGCTACAGTGGGCATATCGACTCATGGAGAGAGAGAATTGAGTGCTTCCTGGCAGGAGGTTTGCTGGCAGAGTAGGGTGCCTCCAGGCTTGATGGAGCTAGGCTTGTCTACCCACAGAGTGAGAGACCTGAGTGCTTTCAGGCAGGAGGCATTCTGGCAAAGTGGTGTGTCTCAGGGCACTTATTGACAGAGCTAAAGAGCTTTGTAACACTTAACCTGAGCAGGACAGAGACCGGGCCAAGGGACTGAGAGCCAAGAAATAGGCCCGCCTGAGGGCACAGCTGGAAAGAAGCCATCCTGACTAAAGAACTATATCCTGTTGTTATTTAGGTGCTATCGAGTCATCTCCGACTCATGGCGACCCTGTGTACAGCAGAATGAAACACTGTCTGGTCCTGTGCCAACCTCATGATCCTTGCCATATCTGGGCCCATCATTGCAGCCACTGTGCCTGTCCATCTTGTTGAGGGCCTTCCCCTTCTTCGTTGACCCTCCACTTTACCAAGCATGATATCCTTCTCCAGGCAATGGTTCCTTCTGACAACATGACCAAAGTAGGTGAGACGAAGTCTGGCCATTCTCGCTTCCAAGGAGCATTCTGGCTGTACTTCCTCCAGGATAGATCTGTTAGTCCTTTTAGCAGACCACGGTACTCTTAGCATTCTTCTCCAACACCACAACTCAAAAGCATCAACTCTTCTTTGGTCTTCTTATTCATTGTCCAGCTCTCACATACATAAGAGGTGATTGAAAATACCAAGGCTTGGGTTAGGCGCACCTTTGTCTTCAATGTGACATTTTTGCTCTTCATCACTTGAAAGAGGTCTTTTGCTGAAGATCTGCCCAATGCAATACATTGTCTGATATCTTGACTCCTTCTTCCATTGGTGTTGATTATAGAGCCAAATAATATGAAATCCTTGACAACTTCAGTTTTTCTCCATCCACCTTGAAGCTATTTATTGGATTCATTGTGAGGGTTTTAGTTTTCTTTGTGTTGAGGTGTAATCCATACTGCAGACTGTAGTCTTTAATTTTCATCAGTAAGTGCTTCAAGTCATCCTCACTTTCAGCAAGTAAAGTTGTGTCATCTGCATATTGCAGGTTGCTAATGAGTCTTCCTCTAATCCTGATGCCACGTTCTTCTTCATATAACCCAGCTTCTTGGATTATTTGCTCAGCATACACGTTGAATAAGTATGGTGAAAGGATACAACCCTGACACACTCCCTTCTTGATTTTGAACCATGCAGGATCCCCTTGTTCTGTTTGAACGACAGCCTCCTGATCTATGTACTGGTTCCTCACGAGTACAATCAAATGTGCTAGAATTCCTGTTCTTCTCCGTGTTATCCACAATTTGTTATCCACACAGTTGAATGGTTTTGCATAGTCAATAAGACGTAAGTAAAATCTTTCTGGTATACTTTGCTTTCAGCTAAGATACATCTGACATCAGCAATGATATACCTCATTCCATGTCCTCTTCTGAATCCAGGTTGCATTTCTGGAAGGTCTCTGTCAATATACTGCTGCAAATATTTTAATTATCTTCAGTAAGATTTTACTTGAAGCATGTGATATTAATGACATTGTTTGATAATTTCCACATTCTGTGTGATCACCTTTCTTTGGAATGGATACAATATGGATCTCTTCCAGTCAGTTGGCCAGGTAGCTGTCTTCCAAATCTCTTGGTATAACCAAGTGAGTGCCTCCAGCAGGGCATCCGTTTGTTGAAACATCTCAGTGGGTGTTCAGTCAATTCCTGGAGCCTTGTTCTTTGCCAATTCCTTCAGTGCAGCTTCAACTTCTTCCTTCAG